CCCTTAGCAAGACTCTGTCTATTTTACAGTTTCAACAGTCACCTCTTGGTTGCGTACAGGTTGGAGGCGCGCAACTCTACAGTTTAATAAAGGATAAAATTATTTGTTGTATTAAAGATGATGTAGTGAGAGCAAGATTGTTACATGAAACAGAATTAACATTAGAAAAAGCTCTTGATATATGCAGATCTGCTGAAATAAGTGCACATCAAAGGAAAATCATAAAAGATGAGGAAACTGCAGTAAACATAGTGAAAAAGAAACTAAGTAAACATAATAAGAATACCTACAAAGAGGTAAATACCGATAAAGAAAAGACAAAAGTTTGTTCTAAATGTGGAACATCTCATGAGTATCGAATTTGTCCAGCATATGGAAAAATCTGTCATAAATGTAAAAAGGCAAATAATTTCGCGAATCAGTGTAAAAGCTATATAATAAAAAATAAAGCAGTCAAGGTAAACAAAAAAGATGGACAAATTAAGATAATAAATCATGACTCTGAGGAAGACTTAGAATTTTATGTCGGCACATTAAACATTAATTCAGATAACAAGGAAGAGAAATGGATTGTTGACGATAATGTAAATAAAAGTAAACTAAATTTGCAGTTAGATACTGGAGCAATGTTCAATGTTATTTCTAAAAGCAAAGTGGAATAGCTAAATGTTTCTATACAGAAGTCTGAAATTAAAAGATTAATTACATTCTCTGGGAATAAAATGGATACTTTAGAAAAAGTAGTACTTAATTGCCAATATGGAAAAAATACTTATGTTGTGGGATTCCAAGTTATTGACAAAGAAGTACCTTCTATATTATGATTAAAATCGTGTTTGCAACTAGGTTTGACTCAAAAAGTAATGTCTGTTTACACTGAAGACTTACTGGAGGAATATAAAGATGTATTTGAAGGCTTAGGTTTTTTGAATGGAAAATATAAAATCCAGTTAAAACAAGATGTAACACCAGTCATTCATCCTCCTAGAAAAATACCCATAGCTATACGTGATAAAGTTAAGAAAGAATTACAAAGAATGGAAAATTTAAATGTTAATGAGAAAGTAAGAGAACCAACTGAATGGGTAAATTCAATTGTCACAGTTGTCAAACCTAACAAAATAAGAATATGTTTAGATCCTAGAGATTTAAATACGAGATAAATAAAGCTATAAAACGAGAACATTATCCGATGTTAACCATTGACGAAGTGTCACTAGAATGCCTAACGCAAAAATATTTTCTGTTTTAGATGCTAATAGTGCTTTTTGGCAAATCCAGCTTGACGAAGAAAGTAGTAATTTGTGTACATTCAATACACCTTTTGGCAGATACAAATTTAAAAGATTACCTTTTGGCACATGTTCAGCTCCAGAAATTTGCCAAAGAAAATTAAGCAAAATAATAGAAGGTCTAGAAGGCGTTGAATGTATTATAGATGATATCTTAATATGGGGATCTAATGAAAAGGAACATGAGCTAAAAAAGTACTCCAGAGAGCAAGAGAAAATAATTTGAAGTTCAATAAAGCTAAATGTAAAATAAAAGCTAATCGTGTGAATTATATAGGGCACGAGTTAAGTGAAAATGGACTAAAACCTGATTTTTCTTAAGTGGAAGCAATTGTTAAAATGCCAGAACCTACAGATGTGCCTTCGTCGCAAAGATTTTTGGGAATGATTAATTATTTAGCCAAATTTATTCTTAACTTAACTACTATTACTACACAATTAAGACAGTTACTTGAGAAAAATGTTCTCTGGCACTGGACTGAAAAGCATCAAAAAGCTTTCGAAACACTTAAAGAATTGATTGCAAAAGCACCCGTATTAAAATTCTATGATGTTAATAAGGATGTAACTCTTTCAGTAGATGCAAGTTCTGAAGGATTAGGTGCTGTTTTACTACAAGAAAACCAACCAATTGCTTATGCTTCCAGAGCTCTAACAAAAAATCAGAAAAATTATGCTCAGATAGAAAAAGAGCTTTTAGCTATTACTTTTGGATGTTCTAAATTTCATCAATATATATATGGCAAACGTATTACAGTTGAAACTGATCATCGACCATTAGAAAGCATAACTAAGAAAACCTCTTTTTTTTTAAAAGCCACCACACGAGCGATTGCAAAGAATGCTGTTAAATTTACAGAAATATGATCTAGATGTACGATACAAAAAGGGGAAACACTTATTAATAGCAGACACTTTGGAGTAGAGCCATATTTGAATACAACAAAAGAAGATAATGATGAAGATACAGAAATTTGTACACTGATTCCAGCATCTGATGACAAAATTTATGAATTAAAGAAAGAAAGTGAATGTGATGCTACACTACAGTGCTTAAAGAAATATATTCTGAGAGGCTGGCCAGAAAAGGAAACATCAGGTAGAACCTCAAGTCAAAGTATTTTGGGACTACAGAGATGAGTTGAAATGGAAACAATGGAAAATGATTATTTTTCAAAGGAGGAAGGGTAATTATTCCTTTATGTATGCAAAAGGAAATGTTAAATTTAATTCATGAGGGTCATTTTGGTATAGAAAAATGTAAGAAAAGAGCTAGAGATGTTTTGTTTTGGCCATTTATGAACAAGCAGATAGAAGATAAAATTTCAAAATGTTCTATATGTAATGAATACCAGAACAAAAACATAAGAGAGCCTATGATACCACATGAAATTCCCAATTTACCTTGGTATAAAGTTGCGACAGATTTATTTGAGATTAACAAAGATGTATATTTATTAATTGTAGATTACTATTCCAACTTTTTTTGAAATCTCCAAACTACCGGATACTCGAAGTCTGACAGTGATCAGTTACATGAAATCTCATTTTGCAAGATACGGTATACCATTGATAGTGATATCTGATAATGGACCTCAGTTTGCAAGTAAAGAATTTTCAGAATTTGAAAAGAAATACCAATTTAAACATATAACAAGCAGTCCATACCATCCACAGTCGAACGGATTAGCAGAGCGTTCAGTACAAACGGCGAAGAAATTGTTAAAGAAAGCTCAAGCAGATCATGCTGATCCTTATTTAGCATTGTTAGCTCATAGGAACACTCCAACTAATGAGATGCTAGGATCACCAGCTCAACGACTTATGAGTAGAAGAACAAGAACGATTCTTCCTACATCTGAAGAATTACTTAAACCTCAAGTTGTGAGAAATGTAAAAGAAAAAATCAACCAAGAAAGAACTAAACAGAAGTCATATTATATCGTCCTTACAAAAACATTTCCATTGCTAAATAAAGGAGATTGTGTTCGGGTATATCAAGATAATCGCTGGAAAGCAGCAGTTGTAGAAGAAGTGCATAAGACGCCTAGATCATATATACTTAGATCAGGTGGATCAGTATTGAGAAGAAATAGAAAAGATATTAGAGGAAACAGTTTTAGAGCTGTTGATGAGAATATCAGAGGAACAGAACAAGGAGTTAATACACAGAAAACAGATGTAAAAGGATATGATTCGAGATATTCTCAAGGGCAAAGTTTAGAAGATCAACTACCAAACTCTGCTAACTCAGAAACAAGGAACGGTGAGCTAAGAACTAAAAGTGGGAGACTGATTAGAAAGCCGGCCAGGTATTTGGACTGATTTTAGACTGTTAAAACTTTTGAACTTTTTAAAAAAACGGAAGATGTAATATTTAATAATTTGTAAATGGTAACATTTAATATTTAGTAACTTGTAATTGGCAACACTTTGGATAGGGATTGAAAAATAGAACTATGCTGGTATTGCAGTTCTCTGGGATTATACATTCTAAGATTGTAAATAAATAGTTTCTAAAAGCTAAAAGTGTACCCTCATAATTTTATAATCAGTAGTGTAGTCTGTTAGCACTCCCCATTGGGGCCCCTTGAGGAATTTCTCGAGAGGCAAAAAGCACGATATTGGGCCTCAATGAATGTATAGATTTGTAGTTTTTGCTCCTTTAATCTATATTTCCTATCTATTTAAATTAAAAGCATATATTAATACAGTGTGGCTCAAATTGATAAAATAGTTCACATATAATAAATTATGACCATTAACTTATTAAATAAATAAAATGCTTATTAAAAAAAAATAATTAATATTAAAATAAAAAAAACTTTGTAATTTATTTACTTTATTTATTTTGCTGATGTGTTCTCGCCTTGTTTGATTTTATGATTTTATCTGATGGTGTTTTCTGAGTATATAATATGTTGGAAACCGCAATAGATGATGTTACTTAAGTTAATGTATAATTTTGCATGATATTATATGTATCTTGATCTTATGTGTCTTCTGTTACTGTGTCTCAAGGTAGAGGCTAACATATTGTTTTCCATGTTAAAAAAAAATAAAAGTCTAATTTAAAAATTTTTAAATTTTAGTTTCCCTGTTATAGTAAAAGTTAGCTTCTAAACTAGACTTATACTGTTATGTGACTGGACCCCCAATATTTATTTTTTATTATTAATTTTCCCCCATCCTTACATCTATTCAGCTTTACAAAACACACTCATTACACACACTTGGAAAACTCTATTTAACGTAAATGATAACAACTTCATTTGACTACATTCATGGACACAATCATGTTTTTTTTTTTAACAAAATTCTCTTACTTCCTTTCCTTTTCTTACTACAGGCCCTTTTTTTTTTTAATTATAAATATAACTTTTTTTTTTTTCCTCTTCATTACTTTTGGGCCATTTATTTCTTACTTTATTTTGTCCCATCTTTTCTTCCTGGCCTTTCGAACTCGTATAAAATATACGAAGTTCCTTTTTACTCTCCTCTGAAATACGAAACAAACAAAAAATACGAAATTGCCCCCTTTTCTATATACCTTTCTTTCGCACCTATGCTTGATTTTTCGCCCATCGGTGCAGAAAGACTTAGCGGGTGCAAAACAAGACATCTCTCTACTTTGTCTGTCTGTCTGTCTGTCATCGGAAGTGACCGTACGTGCGCCAGAATATAGTAACCCTGATAAACGTTGCAACCCACACAGGGAATTTTCCTGAAGGAGGAAAAGGGAAATTTTCTGTTTACTTTTCGAACATTACGGTAAGAGAAAATAAAGTTTGAAAGTCGCAAATCATTATTAGTTCATATTTTCGCAAAACGTTTATGGGGTTTATTTTTCGAACATTACGGTAAAAGAAAATAAAGTTTTTTATATTTTCGCAAAACGTTTATGGGGTTTTGGAGTTAAAAAATGCAGCAAATTATTATTATTAACATAACAAAAAGTTCCTTTTTTAGGTATTATATATGTTATAAATATTGCCATGAAGACAAACTGGGCAAAGTTAAAATGAAACCAATACAACAGCATTTAATTTATTATAGCTTTTTTCTTACTTTTACTAGAATTCTAATGATAAAATGATTAGTGCATTTAAATACATATTAAATGAAAATATTAAAATAGATTTGGAGATGCATTAAATATCATTTGGACTAATTTAATTATGTATTCTTACATATATAGCTATGCACATTTAATTTTTCTCAATAAAAATAATTAAGCTATCCTTATTATTTTTATATGTCTATACATTTTTAAACTCTGCACATAGCTACTCAGAAAGAAAGATATATGGGTAAAATATAAGAAGATAAAAATTATTAATCTTCCCTTCAAAGCCAAATGGATGTAGTTGTAGTATATGATTTCAAAAAAAGTAAATCATTAGAATATTAAGCTGAAAATATAAGTCTGAAGGAAAGAGATTTTTCTTAAATTCAAACTGTGCACAAAACATTTCAGCTGGACTGGAACATGTTAATTTACTGTTGTGGAACTAATATGAAAATAATATTGTTGACAGTATAGTAGTGTACCACCAAAGAATTTATGCTGTGAGAAGAAGCAAAGCATGGATAACACCACAAAGCCAAATAATAACTGGCTTAATTTTTACTCTTTTTATGCATAAAATGTCATAGTTTTTAGTATCTCATTAAAATGTATTTTCTAATAATATAATGATTTGCAAATGATGGAAATTTACTTGTCATTAAAACATTTTGTTCTAAACATGCTTCAGCTTATCAAACAATTTATCCTATGGATTTAACAATTTCGGAATTGCCCATGACGAAAAGTCTGCAATAGAATTTTGGATAAACTGCAGAATCACCCATTGCTTGATGCATTTTTAAGAATTGCACATACTCGGTATCCATGTACACATTGACGTATTTTCACTTAAAAAAAAATCCCAGAATTGCACAAAAATGGCACTGCACACACCCTTGACTTTATCTTACACATCGACCTATTTTCACTTAAAAAGTAAAAGAAATTGACAAAAATCCAATTGCTCTTACCCTTGTAAAAAGTGGCAAACAAATTAGTGGGCGATTCTGCAATTTAGCGAGAATGTTTTCAAAGAAAAAGCATCATTCATTAAAGAAAATTATGTTTGAACAACCAACGAGAGTAAATTATGCTTTAGCGATAACTCAGTAGCGAAATAACGATGCAGGCATCCATTCAGTTATGTTTAGCAATTTTTATATAAATTATAATAATGATCTGAATAGTTATTTACTCTTATGCTTGCATTCAGTCATGTTTACCTTTTTTTATATAAATTATTATAATAATAAAAAAGTATCATAGGAAATTAAACTTTCATCTCAATTAAAACAATAATCTTAAATAGTTACTTACTATTATACTTAATTTCTTGCATTAGAGTTGTCGCAATTATTTTTGGCAGCACTGGCATTAACAATAGTTTGGCAATTTTTGATAATTGTCAAAACCAAATAGTACCAGTTTTTTCTAAGTTTTTAATGTTAGAAACATTCTCTGTATTTTTACAGATTATTTTCATTTGTTACATATGTTACATTGCTGTGAATTTATCATTCATTTGCCTTGACAAGTGTTGCCACTATATCTAAAACATAAGTTGTTTATCTTCACATGTAACCAAGTTTTATATTATTGCTACTGTACGTAAAGTATTTAATTTATCTTCAAAAGCTTCATGCATAACCAGTTCTCAGAGTATTGTCACTGCAGGAAACATGAGTTACTTGATCTCCCAAGCAGGTTGTATATAACCAGTTTTCAGAGTATTGTTATGTGCAAAATTTAAGATGCTTAACCCCTTGACTGGTATGTCTTCACTGTGTGTGGCTGCTCAAAGTTGGCTCAACTTGTTTGCCTGTTCTGCATATGGGAATTAATATTTTCTCATTTTCCTCTTCTGATTTGCCCACACTTTACTTGTAAAGCAATTTAGTCTCTATCTTTCAAGAGATGGTGTAATTTGTGCATATTATTGAAAAGATTCCATCTGGTTTATTTTGTGCAAGATTGAAAATTCTGCTTTGGAAAAAATTTGCTCTTTATATAGAAGGTTTGTGATTCCAAATCATGTGATCATGAGTATTTTTTTTCTGGGAGGGTTGGGTAAAATATGGATGAATATGGTAATGAAAATATTTTATTGCTGGATGAGGAACTGAATTCTAATACTGATTCAAAAATATCTTTCAGTTGTCTAGATTCTTCAGGTGATTAGTGCAGTGAGCTCAGCACTGATGAAGATTTGATTTATGCTAGAAATTTTACTGAGTTTGCTACAAAAAATCCACCTGTTCCATATCCTAGGTTTAATTTCCATCATTACACATGCAAGTTGATCATACTTCAGAAGTTTTTAGAATTTTATGAAATATTAATTTATTCTTTTCGTATGGATAAAATTGTGAAAGACACAAATAAGTATGCTATCCAGTGCATCCAATCAAATGTCACAAAAGAAGTAAATTTTGGGAAGAAACAATCCTGGAAGAGATGCATATATTTTCTGCCTTGAATATACTTCAAGGAATTGTGAAGAAACCTAGAATTGATCATTACTAGATTAAGAGACATTCCACTTACACACCTTTTATCCCTAAAGTACTCTCTCTCTCTTTTTTTAATACTACCTACATTGTTTTGATTATTCAGCATTTGATCCACAAAATTACAAGTTCTTCATATAAGTAAAAGTATGACCAGTTATCAAATATCTGAATGAAATACTTAGTGACCTGACAGTGCCTGAGCGAAATGTAACAATAGTAAATAGCTTTATGGAATGGAAGTGTGGTAGAATATTTGCATTTCAGCATTTTAACATTTTCTTGCAGTATCCAGATTTGCTGCGATGTACCAGTGTGCACTCGTTATAGCGTGAGTATAACGACTTGAACTTCTTGCCGAGAGACTCACTTGCACTTGTACTTCACTGTTCCTGCTTATTCATGGTTGACATTTGACGTCGGCTTATCATCATGTTTTTAATTCCTTTTTTGATATCCTATGGATTTAACAATTTGGGAATTGCCCATGATGGAAAGTCCGCGATAGAATTTTGGGTAAAGTGGCAGAATCATCCACTGTTTGACGTGTTTTAAGAATTGCACATACTTGGTGTCCATGTACACATCGACTTATTTTCACTTAAAAAAAAATCCCAGAATTGCACAAAAACGGTACTGCGCACACCCTTGACTTTATCTATGTACACATCGAGCTATTGTCATTTTAAAAGTAAAAGAAAATTGACAAAGATGCAATTGTTTTTTACCCTTGTAAAAAGCGGAAAACAAATAAGTGGGCGATTCTGCACTTTACCAAGAATGTTTTCAAAGAAAAGGCATCATTCATTATAGAAAATTATGTTTGAACAACCAACGAGATGACACTATGCTTTAGCGATAACTCGGTAGCGAAATATTATATGAAATTAACCTTTCATCTAAATTAAAACATCAATATTAGATAGCTATTTATTATTATACTTCCTTTCTTACATTAGGGTTGCTGCAATTACTTTTGACAGCATTGGCATCAACAATAGTTTGGCGATTTTTTACGGCCCTCGAAACCGAATAGTACCTGCAATTCTTAAAAACGAGTTAAGCAGTGCACGATTCTGCACTTTCCCCTTTTATATTTGATTCAACTGTCATGAATGATTTTAAGTTGCTGGAAAAGTTATCAAATTAAAGTTTTTTAAGTTCAGAATTATATGATATGAGAGCAACTGCTTTTACTTTTAATTCCTTCAAAATCATAATGGGCCTGGAACTATTTAAATATACTTACAATTCTTCAAACAGAAGTATGTACCATGATACTTCATTCCTAAAGTGCATTTAGTTGCCAAAACTTGGAAATTAAATCACCCAATTTGTAAAGTACAAATCTCAAATTTCACCAAAGCCTTATATGGTGACCTCTTTAATTATGAAGTAGAATTCTCTATTATTTATAAAGTAACAAAATGATTTTGTATTTGTTTATAAAGTAACAAAATGATTTTGTGTTTGTTGGACGAAATAAAATTTAGAAAGACTATTTCCATTTTTATAAATAGAGAAAATAAATGATTAAGCAGTTAAATTCGATGACCATGGAAACTACAGAATGAAAAAATTCTTATAGGAATTATGGAATAAATAATCAGAGGATTAATAAGAAGAGAACTTATTTGTTATGTCCATTTGTTTGTAATCTCCATTTGTTAATAACAATCTGTAAATGGATAATAGAGCTGGCATTAATCTAATTACTGCTTTTAGACCTTTAATTGTAGCTCACATTTTAAAGTATTTCAAACAAATCGCTATGTAACAAAATGGAAATAATTCTAATTCTGTGATTTATTATCATGCATTTGCTACTTTTAAAATAGGTATTGGCTGATGGGCCAACAGAAAAGGCAAATACTTTGACAAAAGTCTACATTAATGGTGTGCCTTCAGTCTTCTGAATGGAATTACAGATGTGTGTAGGTGTAACTTGCATTAGAAAAAATAAAAATGTATCTGTTAATTCATTAAGTACTTATATAAAGTTTTGATCTCTGCATGTTGATCAATATGTTTGGTTTGTAGGAAAAAATGACTATTATATTTTACCCCAAAATCTTAGTATTTAAAAAATGTTCATATCTCAAATTGCAGTTTCTGTGTTGCTCATGTTATCCCATCTCACTTCCTTTTTATCAAAGGCATTTCTTATTCCAAAGAAATGCATAGAGGTTAAGAATAAAGAACCATGAGTTCTACTTTTCAAACTAATGAGTTATGAGTACTTACATATTAATGAACCACCTTGGTGCAATCTGGAGATGTTAAA